GGAGGCGGGGGGGAGGGAAGCGGGGGGGAGGGGGGAGGCAGCTCAACTCGTATAATCATCGATTACAGTATGAATCCATCCGAAGGAGACGGCCGGGGAGGCGGCCGGGGAGCGGCGAGGAGTCGTTAGCGAAGCCCCCGCCTTCGGCCGAGGGGGGGAGGGGGGAGGGGGAGTCGTTGGCTTCTGGGCTGAGCAAGGTTGCGGGGGGTTGGGGGGAGGGGGGAGGGGGAGCGGCAACAGCTGTGAGAGAGGGCAGGGAGGGGGGAGGGGGAGGGGGCGGGCTCTACCGGTTCCAGAAGTAAATTAACATCATCCTTGACTATTACAGATTATACAACTAAGGTGATTAGTATAATTGTACTATGGATTATGAAGGAGTCTGTTCTTTCTCTCTGTTTTTTAGCTCCCTTCTGGCGAGTGCAACGCATTAAATTCTTCCTTGTTTCTGCCGAGTTATTCCGATAACAAGAGGAAATTCCTTGTTGACTTGTCTTCGGGAAAAAATGAACCTAAAGAAATAATGATAACGAGTAGACAGATACACAGATAAACAGACAAATAAAAAAAAATCCCACAAACAAATAAATCTATACACACAACGACAAAAGAAACAAACACATAAATAAATAAATAAATAAATAAACAGACAAATAAAAAAAAAATCCCACAAAGAAATAAATCTACACACAAAAAGACAAAACAAACAAACACATAAATAAATAAATAAATTAAATAAATAAACAAATACCTCAAACACACACCAAAAAATTAAAACAGATTTTCGATAATGATCCAACTCTTAGAAATGTTAATGCTTTTCTTAACACAGTCCCCCAGTGCCAGCGCGTCTCCCTCAGCGATATGAAGATGAATCTCCTCCCTATTTGAATACGAATCGAGCTAATTAGCAGATTAAAAAGTGAGGAGCTGGAGATACGGCGGAGAATTTGGGGAAGAGGGATAAGAATAAATAGTATGATAAGTAAGTGATAAAAAAAATGATAAGGAATTGGTAAATATATTGATAAATGAATGAAGGCTTAGATAAATTAATAAATAAAGGAGTAAATATGAGTGAATTGGATGTAAATAAGTGATTAGATAGATAAATAAATAAATTAATAAATGGATAAATAAATAAATTAATAAATGGATAAATAAATAGATAGATAGGTTAATAAATGATGCAAATAATAAATACAAATCAAATAATGCTAATTATCAGATTGAAAATCAAGATGAAAACGGAGAGTTTGAAGAAGAGAAAAAAGGGAAAATAAATTAAAAAAGATAGAATAGAAGGAAAGATGAATAAATAATTGAATGTATAGGTGAATAAATAGATCAAGAAAGAAACAAATGACTAAACGAATTAAAAACAAATAGATAAAAAAGATAGAAGAATAAACAGAATGAATATATCAACAAATACATAAAATAATAATAAATACAAATTCAATAAAGCTAGTAAGCAGATCAAAATACAAGTGATGGAGATAGGACGGAGAAAGTGGAGAAGAGAAACTGGATAAAGAAGAATTAGAAGAGATTAGAGAAAACGATAGGGAATATAATCTATGTAGGAATAGGAAAGAAGGAGGAAAGGGCATAGAAAAAAAATATTCAGAAAATATGAAAGAAAGAAAACTGAATGGAAAATATACAGGGATAAGAAAAGAGAGTGAGAGAGACTTGTGGAAAGAAGAAATCAAATTCAGAAAGTGAAAATGAAACAAACTAAGGAAAAAAATGAAAGTTAAAAAAAATAAATAAAAAATAAAAAATAAGAGGCAGAAAATACGAATAAAGAAAGCGAGAATGCGCAAGAAGACAGAGAAGAAGAAGAGGTAGCTTCTTCACGAGGGAGAGGAATGTATAAGGAACCAGAGGTTGCTTAAGTGGTGGGTGGGGGGGTGGGGGGACTGGAGGGAGGAGAAGGAGGGGGATGGAGGAGGAGGGGGGGAGAGGAGGTGGAGGGAGGAGGGGAGGTGGAGGTGGAGGAGGTGGAGGGAGGGGGGAGAGGAGGGGGAGGGGGGAGGAGGATGTGGAGGGAGGAGGAGGGGGGGAGGGAGATAGTAGGAGCAGGAAAAGGATGAGAGGACAGCAGAAAGAAGAAGGAAAAGGGAGGGTGAAAGGAGGAGGAAGAAAAAAAAAGGGAAGAAGAAGGGAGAAGACAAGGCAAGGATAAAAGAAAGAGTAGCAGTAATAGTAGGAGGAGGAGAAGGGAGTGGAGGAAGGAGGGAGAAGGGAGGGGGAAGGGAAGGGAGGGATTAGTATAATGAAGAACTCAGCGCTGATTACTGTTTTTCTCCCCGCTTGTGTCTCGACGCTGGCTACTGGGGCGGCTCATTACCTGGCCATGGGGAGGGGAGGGGGCTGGGGGAGGGGAGGGGGAGGGGAGGGGGCTGGGGGAGGGGAAGAGGAGGGGAGGGGGATGGGGGAGGGGAAGAGGAGGGGAGGGGGAAGGGGGAAGGGGGAGGGGGAGGGGGAGGGGAGGGGA